GTTCTTCAGGGTCCGGAGAGGGGTTGAGCCTTGGGGGGCGGGGCTGAGACGGAACGGGGTCTCCGCTCCTGTCCCTCTCTTTGCCTGTCAGCTGCTCTATCGCTCGCTCCATTCTTTCTTTCTCTTCCTCTTTATTAATTCTTTCTTCCTGTGTTTATTGAGCGTCTCCAGGGTACCCGGCACTGTTGTAGGCGCCGGGAGACCGCGGAGAGCGTGATCCCAGTTCTCATAGGCTCTTCTGGTGTAGGATTTCTCATCTTTGCCACTGTTGACACTCAGCGCCAATCATTCTCTCTGCTGTGGCTTGTAGGATGTTGAGCTACATCCCTGGTCTCCACCCAGTAGATACCAGTAACCTTCCCACCCCCGTTGTGACAACCAAAAATGTCTCCAGACGTTGTCAAACGTCTTCTGGAGGACAAAATCCTATCCCCTTGAGAACCGGTGATCTAGAGAGGGGGGAGGGGCTGATAACATACAGACAAAATCATGAGGAATGTGATAGGTGCTATGAAAGAAACAGGGCCCTGAGAAAGAAAGTACTGAAGGCTCCTGAAAAGCTTGGGGTGGGGTGGGGAGACCTACAGCAAGCAGGCTGTCCTAGAAGTTGCTGGAAGAGCATGCCAGGCAGAGGGAGCCAGATGTGCAAAGGCCTGGTGGTGCTGGAGGAGCTGCCTCCCAGGCAGGGCTTGGCCCCTAGTGGGGACCTGCATCTGACCACCCTACTGCCCCTGACTTCAGCATGGCCAACCTGGGCCACCCACTCCACTGGGTGCTAGCCACAGGACCCAAGTGGGTGGGACTCCAGCTACCTGATCCTCAACCCCTCTGAGTGCTTAATTCCCAAGGGAAAGTGAGGGCAGCAGATCCTGGGCTCTCTCCAGGGGGTGGGCTGGGGAGGGATCCCCAACTAGCTGGCGTGCCCTCCCAGGATGGCTGCTCAGAGAAGGGGTCTGGTGGAGGCTTTCCTAAAGAGGGATTAGAGCTCTGCAGGTGGCTCTCTGGTTCCTTATTGGACAGTGAGCGCACCCAAGGGCCCCAGGAGCCACTTGGATATGAACATGGGTAGACAAAGACCCCCTGGACCCCTCCCCTGGGCTCCCCCGAGGCCCCTGGAAACAGTCAGGGTGGGGACTTGGAGGGAGCTGAGGAGAGGAAAGCCTTTTCTCACCCTCCCTACCCCCACCCAGGTCTCCCTAACCTGCCCAGCCCTAGGCTTTTTCCAGTTTGGCAGAGGCTAGGCCCTCAGGCTGATGAGGATTCTTGCTCTAGTTGACAACATTCTGACTGCCTTAGAACCTCAAGCTGACTGATGGGGGGAAGAGGCCTACTGCCCTGGGGGGCCAGGGCACATCCCCAGGACAGCTGGGCCCAGCATCCCTATATCTGGGGTTTTGGCCTGTAGGGCCGGAAGATACTATAAGGGGAAGACTGTTATTGCAAAATGCAGCCCTTAGGGGACTGGGCTGAGAGCATCTTGCTCAATTTTGAGATGCTTAGCAAGCAATCACTGCGTTCAGGGCTGGGCGGGGCACAAAGATGGGGGGTGCTGGACTGCAGCCCCGGTCCGCCCACCTGGCTGGGGCTGTATGCTGAACCCGAGTGAACCCGGAAATGCTTCCCTCCCTCCTTCCCTGGCTCAGATTGACTCTTGGGTGAATCCTGTAGGTCTTTCACCAGGTTGTGTGTCAGGGCTGTGGGCCTGGCCACTATTGGCCTCCCAGGACTTTCCAGTGAGCCCGGCATGCCTTTCTGTTTACTTCATTTTATAGCTAGGGACAGCCAGATGCTTGTTCTCCCAGACTGCAGCGATAGGCGCTTGGGCATGCTGAACCCACAGGGGCTGGTGGGCTGGCTGTGGTCCCCGGGGGAGTGCCTGCTGGGGTTCTGGCCCTGGACCTCGGACACTGCTTATTGGAGCCATCAGCTGGCCTCTTGGCCCTGGGAGCTTGCAGTGGAGGAAGCAAATGGATTGTAAAATGCAAGTCAATGTCAGCCAGTAACCTCCCTGTGAGTCCCCACCCTCCTCTCTGCCCTGTGGGTGCTGAGACAGGAGCCAACCTTGGGTTCCTGAAAGGGCGGAGCCTTTCCACTCACTGGTTGAGTCCTAGAGCTCCTGCTTAGAGCTCTCTGTGCCTCACCCTGGCCAGGTGTCCTTACCCCAAGCACGGTGGCCTCCAAGACTTCCTGCTTAGAGTGGAGGCCAGCAGCAGTGCTGGAGGTGAGGCTTCACACCTCTGCCTGAGGGCCTGGCACTATCCATTCCCAGGAGACTCTACCTCTCCCCCAGAGGACAAGCCACTAGACAGCCTGGTCTGGGGCACACAGCCAAACCCCTCAAGTTACAACAGGGGTAGCAGTGGACAGGATGGGGAGGCTGTGGCCAAGCTCTCAGGATTCCCTATCTAGCTGGACCCAAAGGGCAGTCAGCACAGGATGGGAGTGGTACCTGGTGTCAGTGCCATCTGCAGGGCCTGAGAGCCGTCCCAGTAAGGACTGAGTCGTGAAGGCTGGGAGGGTGATATTGCAGGTGGCATTTGAAGGGGCAGATGGGGAGAGAGGGATGAGGAGACAGCAGGAATGGCAGGTAGCTCATGAGTACAGTGTGGGGACACAGGGCTCAGGAACCAGCCCCTCCCTGCAGACCCGGAGGCTGGGTTGGGGGACCATTGGGTAGACCCCAGGTCCTACTGCATTGCTGTGGTGTGTAGGAAGGGAGACATTGCCAGATGGGCCAGGTCAGGAGAGGCTAATAATGGAGAAAGTGCCAGAAACAATTGGACTGTGCAGTTACCCTCCATGCTGTACTCACCTGAGATGGGAGCAGAGAGTGTCTCCCTCCTCCTCCCACAGTGTGGGGGGCTCAGCAGCCTTCCACCTGGAGCCCTTCTCAGTCCCTTGGGACTTCCAGACAACAGGGTAGGGTTGTAACAACAGGGTGGGTCCCCCCCGCCTCCCATACCACCACTGGGAGCAAAATGAGCCTGGCCTCCCTCCCTATGGGGAGCCCAGGTTCAAGCCTGGGCCTGTGGCTCAGCACAGCCGACTCCACCACAGTAGGGGCAGATGGGGCTCCTGGCTGCAGACTGCGTATGAGGCCTAGCAGTAGGAAGACCACTGGAAGGGCGCCTCCTGATAGGGCCACCGGAGGCTGGGCGCTGTCTGGCAGTAGAGCAGCGCTTCCTGCTATCCTCAGTGTCTCTAATCTGTTCCCTCTTCTACAGCATGCCTGGGCCTGGTCAGTGCTCCCGGGTGACCCTAATCCCTGTCTTCTAGGGGGTAGAGTGGTTGGAGTCCTGGGATGATTCACACTGCCACCAACCCCTGAGATCAGAGTCACACAATTGGGGGGAAAAGGGGCATCCTTTGTTTCCAGGGTGAGTGACCTACTCAAGGTGAAGAGTCAGCTCCTCTCTCTTGGCCCCTCCTCCCCCTGCCTAGAAAGGGCTTTCTCTATGTGATGAGGCTTGTTAGGAGTTGGGCTCCAGGTACATCA